TGTAGGGAACTAGAGACATTACTCTAATCTTGGAAGATGGTGGAAATGAAAACAAATATATCTTCTCCAGTATTATCTGTTAATGCTTTTTTCATTAACAAAAGATAAACCTGAATAAACAGTGCAGTCTCATCCATTGTGAAGAATTGTGCAAGATGTAATAGTTTCTTTCTTTTTTTCTTTTGTCTGATGCCTTTGGCTGCCATTACTAGTAAATGCATACTTTAATTACTCGATGTATTCAGTAATTATATCCTTTCTTTCTGAATCTCACATAAGTCACACCAATAGCTCCTTTTGTTTAGTTAGGGAAAAAGTTAGAGTTTAATACAAAATTTTGTAGTTATGCCTAGAAAATGGAATTGGTTATAATTTATATAAACTTTTATTTGGAAGATACTTTGTCTTTCAGACTAATTCAGTTCCCCTTATAGTAAGCAAAAAAGAGCATCTGTTTATTATTTTCAAATGAAGATTCTATAGTCATTTATTAGGCGTGTATCTATGAACCCTTTGAATTCTTTCTCCTAGAGCAAGAGGTCTGCAAACTATGTCCCTGGGACCAAATCTGTCTTGCCCTGTGTTTTTGTAAATAAAGTTTTATTGGAACACAGCTACACTTTTCATTTACTTATTGTCTATGGCTGCTCTCAACTATAACTTCAGAGTTGAGTAGTTACTAGAGACCATATGACCTATATAATCTAAAATATTCACTTTCTGACCCTTTACGGAAAAGTTTGCCAACTCCTTCTCTAGAGAATATGTAGTTCTCTTAGTGCTATTTAAATTTCTTCTTTCTTTGCTTATTTTCTTTTTTACTATTTAAATTATTTCAGTTAAGCCTGTTTTATATCCCTTTCCCTCGCTTCCCCTTCCTCCACATCTCTGCCTTCCCTGCACCACCATGTCTCTCTTTATTACCAGAATGGGACTTGTAGCAATATTTGAATTGGACAGTGAAATATAGCTCCTAACAAGGAATCTAACTCCAATTTAAAGTATTATTTGTAATTCGTTTCTTCAATTCAGAAACAGTGACCTTAAAAAGAGCAGCTTTGGTTTAATTAAATTTAAATCTGTATGGATCTAGAACTATGTTTGAGAAAAAGTATGTTACACTCCCTTCTAAGGAGCTTTAGTTTAATCTGTAACTACACACTACAGTAGTTTTGACCTGTTTTATGCCTCTTTACTTCTCTCGCAGGTGCTTTACACACAGACTTTTAGAACTTGAGTGAATGAATACCAAGTTGGCCCTAGACCTTAGCTTTTAGTTAATGACTATTTACTTAATTCGTTTATTCATGAAAATGGCAAATGTTTATTATCGACTGAGACAAAATATTCTTTGAGATTTTCAAATATGTTTTTAATTTCAAAATAAGTCTCGAAATAATCGTTTTTTTAAAAAAAATGTGCAGAGTCTCCCATGAGTGCCCAAGTGGTTTCTCAGCCTTTAATTTAGATACATAACTGGTGATCTTATTAAAACATAGATTTGGATTTGGTAAGTCTGAGGGGAGGACTCAAGAATCTGTATTTCCAACTAACTCCCAAGTGATGTCAGTACTGCTAGTGCGGAGCAATAGCAAGGCACAAAGGTATCTAGAAATATAGTAGGGAGGGAAACACCACTGTCCTTTAATAGCTAGTGGCAGTGTTCCTCTGTAGCACTACCACTAAGAGGCATACACAAACTTTGTGATTCTTAGGGACAATTCCACATTCGAATACATTGTTCTGTCACATTTATTGAGTGGGGGACAGAGGTGGAAGCCACTTACCTGATGTTAGGTTGACTACATTTATGTAGCCGCAAGCATCTGACTTTTTTATTATGACATCTAAGGTTGTTGTACGTGAGCATTTACTTAAATTTTTTATTTTTAAAAAATAAATTATTTATTTTCTCTTTATTATACAGTTAAGTATATAATTATATATATACATATGTATACATATATATAAGTATTCATATGTAAAATTATGCATATAGTTAGGATATTTTACCTCTGGATTTAATTTTCAGGGTAGTAAGGGAAATGTTTCAAAGTATTGTTTTTAGACTTCCAGTTCCAAAATTCTTTGTTATGTTGTATTTTAAAGTCCTCTCCCATGGTATAACTTGAAAGCATTCTCTTTCATTATTTTTGTTCTGTCCTAGTATCGTGTTTAATTAATAAAGAATTATCTTTATTCATATTATGACATTATATAATTCATTTATTCAACAAATATTTATTGAATTTCAGTATCAGTATTACTTGTAACCACATGGCTGAAATAATTTTATCATGATTCATATTTAAAACTAAATGTATTTGGCAGATATTTTGACTCTGATCTTATATTACTGTGGAGTATTTCTTACTCTTAGTTTTCCCTACTTCTTTATTCTATTGTGAAACAAAAATTAACGACTGATAGGAAAAAGTAACAGAGTTACTTGCTTCTAATGGACTATGAAGCATCTTAAGAAGCATAGCTACAAAAAAATATTTAATAGGCATTATAGATTATTAAGTATTTGTTTCTACATTTTACTGCTTAAATAATGACACTTAGTGAAAGTACTGAGAGATTTCATTATGATTTTTATGGAATTTTAATTAGGCAAGAGTGAAAAACTAAAAAAGTCATATGACTCATTATATCTTACTGCATTTTGTTAGATGGTGAAAAATGCTACCAAGTGTAAGTGATGACAAGAGATTAATAAAAAATATAAAACAATCATTGGATCTAAAATGTAAAGTTTTAAGGCAAGTTAAGTGTAATGGATATTTAATAGTTTGGTAATCACCATCATTTATTGTCTGATACATATGACCTTCTAAGTATCTTTGTGACACTTGACAATTTTAAAGTAAAAGTAATAATTAAAACATATACTTAAGACTTCTTCCGGTATAGATGGAATAATTGGGCCTGGATTTACCCTTCTGCTTGAAGCATCTGAAAAAACAGACAAAATATTTGAAACAATAGTTTTAAAAAAATGGGACATTGGGCAAGAGAAGAGAGTAATACCCAAGAAATGGGAAATAAATAAAACAAGCCCTGTGATTGCACTAGCATATTGCTTTAAGAGAGTTTCTGGGTTGTAGCAGAGCCCAGTGGTCTTATTGAGTTGAGGAGATAGTTCTGAGAGATTGTGGAGACCAAGGCAGCTAGAGTTTGC